TGCTTCTGTGACCCTCGTAGATAGGGTATTTAAAGTCGAGGCTGTTTGAGTAGTAGTTGATAAAGCAATAGCAGAGGCAGTGACTGCTGCAGTTACTGCTGTTGCAGCCACAATTGTTGCAATAATTGCTGAAATACCAAAATCTCTTCTAGTTCTAAAAAGAGTTAATGTTCCTGGGGCTTCTACTGGGACAGGGACATATCGGGGAATTCTAGTAACTACAGCTACAGGAAATTGCGTCGCATTCCAACAGAGGCTGTAAAAGCAAGTACTATTGGAGCATTCTATAGTGGTGAGATTTTCTATAGACCCATTATAAAGGAGCCACATAAAGGGGTGGCCAACACAAACTGGGGCACCGGTATAATTTTGAGTATAAAAGGTCTGTAAGTGGGAAATGTTTATCTTCCAACTCATGCCGGTTTGGCCGGAGGAGAGCCCAACAAAATCATAGGTGACATTTGCTATGTCATATCTAGAGTCCCTAATAAAACATAGAGGGGTTAAATCAGTACAACTACCATTAATTCCACATAGCAGATTTCTATGAAATGGGTTAGAGTGCCAAGCATCGCTGGGCAAAATAGGTTCTTGACCCTTAATAATATTCCAAGAAGACCAATTAGACTCAAGCCCAACCAGGGGGGAGAAGGTAAAATACCCAGGAAGTGCCCATGCCACTTTCCTATCCTGGCAGCCTGACCATGGGGGCATGGGGTCGTCAGCATATTGTTGCCAACAGTGGGGTGCTAATTTTGGTTGTAGTTGTCGATAGGTCTGATTAGTAATCCGGGTTAAGTTGAGAAAAGATCCTGTAATAATGGAGGCGTTGGTACACTGTCTAGTTATTCGGCATCCTTTAGGATTGTCCTTAGTCAGTTTTCCGTCTTTATTGGAAAGAAGGGCCGCCAAGCGCTGCTGTAGCAGCAAACAGGTTTGCATGGGGCCGCCCTCGGTGGAATTTTGTAACTCAACCAGGAAGCAGAGGGTTCCCTTAAGGGGGATTGATTTATTTTTCTCTTGCACTGGGGCAATATCCTTGTCTAGGGGCAAATAAGGAAGTCCCAGATCAGGATCAGATGTAAAAAACCTGGGGTAAACTGAGGCATCATACGTTACCGGCATCGGTATGGGAAAGGTTGTCATAATTCCCCATCGTGGTGTTGTTTCTATCAACTGCGTCCCCAGCGTCCAAATCAGGCCTAGGCAAAGTAGTAATTGGTTGTTGATTTTCATCTTCATTTTTAACTTGTCTTATCAACCTTTCAGGGACCCAGATTGGATTTTCTTCGTCCTGTGGAAAAACACAGACAGCACCCCTGGATCTCCTCAGTATGGGATCCGGTCCTTTCCATGTATTAGTTAAGACATCCTTCCACTTAGCCATAAGGGGCTCAGGTATCTCGGCTTTAGAGGTGTGCCTTTGGGCAGCTGTGAGTCCCCTCTCATCTTGCAATAAAAAATTAAGAGTAAATAAGGCAATTGCAATTCTTGCCCTTGGAGTTTTTGGGGAGAAGTCCCCAACTCCATCCTTTTGTTTTTCTAAGTAAGTTTTTAAGGTTCAGTGGGCCCTTTCTACAATGCCCTGTCCTTGTGGATTATAGGGCAGTCCAGTAGAATGTTGGGTTTCCATCTGAGCCATAAATTGTTTAAATTTTAATGAAGCATAAGCGGGCCCGTTGTCTGTTTTTAGAAGGGCCGGCTTTCCCCAGGAGCTCCATGCTTCCAGACAATGTTGGATAACATGAGCAGCCTTCTCCCCACCTAAGGGGGTTGCAAAAATGACACCAGAGAAGGTGTCGATGGAGACATGCACATATTTGAGTGTTCCAAAGCTAGGAACGTGGGTAACGTCCATCTGCCATAACTGTAGGGGGCGTAGGCCCCTAGGATTGATTCCAACATGCGGTTTTGGCATAAAGACCGCGCAATTTTTGCAAGAGACAACAATGTCACGTGCCTGCTTTCTGGAGATATTGAAGCGCCTGCGAAGAGTTTCAGATGTTACATGGAATTTAGAGTGCAAGGCTTTTGCTTGGGAGAGGGCCGAAAAGAGGCCTATTGGCGGTTTCCTGGTGGCCTGATCTACAAGGGAATTACTCAATGCCATGGGTCCCGGAAGTCCCAAGTGGGATCGAATGTGAGTGATAAACAGCGGATGAGCACGGGACCAGAGGGCATCCCTCATTTGCCTAAAAAGAGAAAAGGTAGGCGCGGATTCCTTGATGTATCCGGAGGTCTCCAAGGCAATTAAGGCATTGACCACATAGAGGGAATCAGAAACAATATTAAGGGGTCCTGTATAGCGTAAGAGTACCAAAAGGACAGTATGGCATTCCACCAGCTGGGGTGAGGAGTAAGGGAACTGGTGAGTGAATATAGAGCCATCTACTAGGAAAGCCCCTATTCCGGTCTTAGATCCATCCGTATAGACCGTAGTAGCATTTTCTAGGGGCCAGGGAGAAATTAGAGATGGGAAGACAACCTTATGAATTCTAAAAAATTGGAGGAGGGGGTGCTTGGGGTAATGATTGTCTACCTGACCATGAAAGGAAGTAAGCAAAATGGCCCAGTCATCCTTGAAAATGGCAAGATGCTTTAGTTGATTCTTGTCATAGGGTAAAATAAGTTTTTGGGGAGTCCTTCCAAAATGGGTGAGGGCCAGATTGAGTCCCTTCAAAATCAACTTGGCCAAGGAACTTAAGTAATCAACAATAGTTCTGCTGCCTGAAGTATTTAAGTGAATCCAAAGTAGAGGTCCTTCTTGCCAAAGAACTCCCGTAGGAAGGTCGGGTGTCTTTAAAATACATAACTGGAAAGGCCTAAGTATATCTATCCGTCTTAATTGGGCCTTCTGGATATGGGCCTCAACTAGTTGCAAGGCTTCCTGTGCCTCAGGAGTTAACTCTCGAGGGGAGGAAAAGTCAGGGTACCCCTCTAAAATATAAAAAAGAGTCCTGAGGTCTGAGGTTGAGAGCTGTAAGTATGGCCTCAACCAATTAATATCACCAAGAAGTCTCTGGAAATCATTGAGGGTGTGGAGATTCTGCAAAGATATGGACACTTTTTGGGGCCTAATGGTGTCATTATATATTATGGAGCCTAGAAATTCCTTTAAAGAGGTCTGCTGAACCTTAGCTTCAGCAATCGTCAGAAAGGCATTTTGTAAGCAAGAGCGAGTATGGGTGTAAGTTTCGAGGAGCATTTCCTCCGTCGGGGCGCAGAGCAAAATATCATCCATATAATGGATAATAACAGCTTTGGGGAATTTAAGCCTAACAGGGTCTAATATATTTTGAACATAAAGTTGACATAGGGTAGGGCTGTTTGCCATCCCTTGGGGTAAGACCTTCCATTGAAATCGGCGATCAGGTTCCATATGATTAAGGGACGGAACGGTAAATGCAAATTTTTCACAATCGATAGGGGACAGGGGAATAGAAAAGAAACAGTCTTTTATATCTAAGACTAGAGTGGGCCAATTATTAGGGAGGGCAGAGAGCAGGGGAAGTCCCCTTTGTAAGGGCCCGAAAAGCTTCATTCGAGCATTAACAGCTCTCAGGTCGTGGATTAACCTCCATTGTTTGTTTTTCTTTTTCACTAAAAAAATAGGAGTATTCCAGGCGGATGTGGAGGGTTCCAAACGTCCCAGCCTTAGTTGTTCATTGATGATTTCAGCAATGGCAGCCAATTTTTCGGAGGAGAGAGGCCATTGAGGAACCCATACAGGTTCCTCCGAAATCCAAGGAATGGGTTTAGTAGTCCTCATGGCCTTTAGGAAAAACCCAGCCCCGAACGGTTGTTATTAGGGTTCATCTGAACTGGTTCTTTAATGCCTTGTAGGCCTTTTCCCAGGCCTCTGCCTGGGACATAGCCCATCTGCATGATCATATTCTGAGCTTGTTGAGAATAAGTAGGGGTATTGGAAAGGGTCAATTGCAGTTGTTGCATAATATCTCTGCCCCATAAATTGACGGGCAGTGGCAACACATGAGGCCTAAAAGTTCCCCGTTGGCCTTCCGAGGTCAGGAAGCTTAAAATTTTGGTACTTATTTCAGGGTTAGAATTGTACCCCAGGCCTAAAAGAGACCTATCTGACCTTTTAAGAGGCGATTCATGGGGCCAACAGTAGGAGGAAACAATGCTTATATCTGCTCCAGTATCCAGGATTCCTTCAAAACTCTTACCATTCACCCATAATTTCATTTTTGGTCTCTCATGTAGCTGCATTGTTAAGAATGCATGTTCGGGGGAAGCAGAGGTAGGAGAGGGGAAAATTAGCACACGAGCTAATATATCCCCCGGATTAATTAAAATGGTGCCTTGAGCACAGGTCATCAAAACATTTATTTCCTGTTGGGTATCCAGTTCTACTGTTGTGGGGAAGATAATCAGGGAGTTGTGCGCAGGATGTTCCAGGTTAGTTATTAATCCCAATGTCCCCTTTTGAGCCTCTTGTTTTAATTTCAAAGGTATGGGCTGAGGTCCCATTTCTGAAGTTAATAGAAATCTGGAGGTGGCACACAGGTCCAGTCCTGGTCCACATTTTCCTTGGGGATCTGATCTAGGATGGGTTTGGAGGCCTGTATTTTCATGGGGCCCCAGGCTCCAGGGCCCTGCCTCCCGTTTTTTGAAAGTGGGGGCAATAATTTCCCTTCAATGTCCTTAATGGACCGGCATTGATTGGCAGGGTGGTAGCCCTTTCTGCATCTCTGGCATAATTGCGGGCTTTTAAGGGGTCTCCCTTGTTCTCCTGGGGAGCTTAGATCTTCATTTCTTTGGTTTAGTTTAACTCTACAATCCCTTTTAAGGTGTCCTGGCTTCCCACATCGAAAGCATGTAGGTTTATTCATTTTACTTGGATAAGGACGTGACTGTTTTAATATTGCCGCGGCCAGCCCTTCATTGGTGAGGGGGCCGCCTACATCCCGGCATATCCTAATCCAATCTGTCAAGCCTTTGGTCCTTCGGGGCGCAATAGCTGTACGGCATGCTTGATTAGCTTGTTCAAAAATCAGTTGTTCTATGAGGGGGTTAACCTGTTCTGTGTCCCCAAAGATTCTAGCTGCTGCCTCACTCAGTCTGGCCACAAATTCTGAAAAGGGCTCATCGTTCCTTTGCAGGATTTTAGTAAGCTGGTTATCTATTCCTCCTTTTCTTGATAGCACCCTCCAAGCTTTTATGGCCAGTCTAGAAACTTGGGCATAGACTCCCCATGGGAAATTGTTCTGGTCATTGGCGTGGGCTCCTTGCCCAGTAAGCATTTCAAAAGTCCAAGCCCTTTGTTCAGGCGTAATTGCTGTAGCATTAAGCCTTGCCTGTTCCTGAGAGGCTTCATGCCATAGGGCCTTCCATTCTAAATATTGCCCCATATTGGAGAGGGTGGCTTTAGCAATCATCTGCCAGTCTGAGGGTGTCATGGCATCTTTCGCCAGACGGTCTAATTGTGCCAACGTAAA